CGCGGGAAGCCTGCTTCTCCCTCTGCCTCTCTCTCTGCCTCTCATGAATAAATAAATAAAATCTTAAAAAAAAAAAAAAACTAACGGACTACGTATGTCTGGGTCTAATTCTGGGCTCTCTTCTGTCCACGGAGCTACTGTCTACCTTCACGCCAACAGCGTATTCTCCTGGCTTCCGTAGGTTTATGACAAGACTTGAAGTAAGGTAGGGTCAGTCCTCCAACTTCGCTCTTCTTATTCAAAGGGTATTTTGGCTAATCTAGGTCCTTTGCATTTTCTATGGATTTTAGAATCAGCCTATTAATTTCTAATTAAAAAAAAAACCTATTAAGATTTTGGTTAGGATTGAATCTATACATCAGTTTGGGTGGAAGTAACATCTTGACACTATTGAGTCTTCTGATTCATAAACATGGTATTTCTCTCCATTAACTTGGGCCTTTTTTCAGTAATGTTTGGGAGTTTTTAGCGTAGAAGTCTTAGACATCTTTTGTCAGATTTATCTCTAAGTATCATATTTTTAAATGCTACTTTGGATTTTTTTCTTTAAGATTTTATTTCAAAGTAATCTTACACCCTACGTGGGGCTCGAACCCAGGACCCCAAGATCAAGAGTCTCATGCTCCGCCTGCTGAGCCAGCCAGGCGCCCCCAGATGTATTTTTAAAATTTCAATTTCCAGTAGTTTGTTGCTATTATGTGGAAACATGATTAACTTTTATATATTGGTCTTGCATCCTGCAAACTTGCTAAACTCACTTACAGTATTTTTATACATCCCATAGAAGATTGTGTTGTCTGAATAAAGACAGTTGCACACTTCCTTTCCAGTCTGGATGCCTTTTATCCCTCTTCCATGACTTTGCATTGGCTGGCCTCTAGCATGACATGGAGTTGATGCAGTGGGGCTGGAAGTCCTTGTTCTTGACCTTGGGGAAAAGCATTCAGTCCTTCCCCATTAAGTGTGATGCTGGCTAGAGGTGTTTTTTGTTTTAATTGTGGTAAAACATAAACATAAACATGTAGCCATGTAGCCATTTTTAAGTGTACAATTTAGTGGCATCTAGTACATTCACAATGTCAGGCAGCCACCACCGCATTTATTTCTAAAATTCTTACATCACCACAAACAGAAACCCTGTACCCATTGTGCCCTCGTTCCCCCTCCCCCGGGTCCTGGTAACCTCTGATCTTTCTGTCTCTATGAATTTGCTTATTTTAGATATTTCATATAAGTTGTACAGTTTTTGCCCTTTTGTATCTGGCTTCTTTCACTTAGAATAACTTTTCAAGGTTCTTCCATGTTATAACATGTATCAAACTTTATCCCTTTTTATGGCTGCAAAATATTCACTGTACTGAGAGCCCACATTCTGCTTATTCATGCACCTGCTAGACACCTGGGTTGTTTGCACTTTTTGGCTATTGTGAGTAATGCTGCACATGGGTGTGTAAGTATCTGCTTGAGTTCTAGCTTTCCATTCTTTTGGGTACTGTAGGGTTTTAAAAAAATATTTGCTTTTTGTCAGGTTGAAGAGATTCCCTTCTGTTCCTAGTTTGTTTAGAATTTTTATCAGGAATAGAAATGTTGGATTTTTGCCAAATGCTTTTTCTATGCTTGTTGGGATGATCACACGGTCTTTCTTCTTTACTCTGTTGCTATGGCAAATTACCATTTGCCATTTTTTCATGTTAAACCAACCTTTCATTCTTCAGATAAACTTCACTTATTCAAGATGCATTATCTTTTTTACATATTGTTGGACTCAATTTGCTAAAATACTGTTAAAAATTTCTGCTCTATGTTCAGAAGGGATACTACTATCTGCACTTTTCTTTTTTTGTAACGTCCTTTTATAATTTTGGTATGGAATGAATGGGAGATATTCCCTCCACTACAATTTTCTCAATGAGTTTGTAAAGAATCGCTATACAAACAATGAACTGTTCAGTAAAGTTGACCAGTGAAGCCATTTGGGCCTTTAATTTTCTTTGTGGGAAGGTTTTAAGTACCAATTAAATTCCCTTAATAGCTACATGGTTTTTTGGTTGTCTGTTTCTTACTGAGAGATCTTTGGTAGTTTGTGTCTTTTTTTTTTTTTTAAAGATTTTATTTACTCGACAGAGAGAGACACAGTAAGAGAGGGAACACAAGCAGGGGGAGAGGGAGAGGGAGAAGCAGGCTCCCCGCGGAGCAGGGAGCCCGACGCGGGACTCGATCCCAGGACCCCGGGATCATGACCTGAGCCGAAGGCAGACGCCCAATGACTGAGCCACCCGGGCATCCCCATAGTAGTTTGTGTCTTTCAAGGAATCTGTCCATTTCCTCTAAACTGTCAAATTTACTGGCATAAAGTTGTTCATCTTATTATCCTTTGACATGTTGACTCTGCAGTGACATCATCTCTCATTCATGATATTGGTAATTTATGTTTTCTTTTTGTCCTGATCAGTCTGATAAATCTAGAGATTTACTGATTTTATCAATCTTCTCAAAGACTTAGCTTTTTGTTTCATTGATTTTCTGCAGTTTTTCTGTTTTCACTTTCACTGATTTCTACTCTGATCTTCAGTATTTTCTTTCTTCTGCTTGCTTTTAGTATAATTTATTTTTTAAGGCACAGAGGCCACTGATTTGAGGCCTTATTTTAGAGTAAAGGTATTTAGATGCTATGAATCTGCCTCTTGCAACTGCTGTGGCTGCATCCCACAATTAATATGTTTTGTTGTCATTTTCTTTCAGTTCAAAATACTTTCTAATTTCCCCGTAGGTTTTTATTTGACCCATGGGCTATTCAGTAGTACGCTCTTTAGTTTCCAGGTATTTGGGGATTTTCCAGAGATCTTAGTGTTACTGATCATTAATGCTGTCATGACTAAAAAACACACTTTCTATGATTTGTCTTCTTTAGCATTTATTGAGACTTGTTTTATTGCCTATCTTGAAAATGTGGCTGGGATCTGAGTCCAAATGCTCTGGGTCCAAAACCTATGCTCTCACCTACTCTATGGTAGCTGCTTGTTTCTTAAACAGACTCTCAACCAGTCCTTTTCTTTCAGCTTCAAGATCACGCGCTTCCCGAACCACTGCTAGAGGAAGCTGGCTCCACCCACTATGGAGTTTTAAGGCTTTGCTACCTGCTTCAGCTTCTTAGCTCTGTCACTGTCTGCTTGGGATCCACCTTTCGTGGTCTGCCAAGTCAGCTTCCTGCCACCTGTTCATGTACTTCTCAGCTTCTCAAACGTAGTGTTCATTCTCTTTGTCCTTGTGGACTTTCTTATTTTTATTGTGCTAAATTACACATAAGATAAAATGGACCATTATAACTAA